CAGAGATAGTAGGAACTGCAGATGCTGGAGAATCCGAGACAACAAGGTGCAGAGCTGGATGAACACAGCAGGCCAAGCAGCGTCAGAGGAGCAGAAAGGCTGACGTTTCAGGCCTAGACCCTTCATCAGACCCTTCATCCCTTTACTTGAAAAGTCAACAGGATTGCAAGTTGGACCATCCACTGGATCATATAAACTTCAACCAATGAGTATTAAAGGAGATGGCAAGAGAGATAATGGATGCATTGGTGAATGTCTTTCAAAATTGTGGAGATTCTGGACAAATTTCTGTGGTCTAGACAGTTAAAATGTAACTCCACTATTTAAGAGGAAAGGACGAAGGAGAACCACGGATTTGTCAGTTTGATGTTAATAGTAAAGAAAGTGTTAGAGTGTATTACAAGGGAGGATGAAATAACTGGACATTTAGAAAAGAATCAACCAATTGAAAATGGATTTAGGAAGGGGAAGTCTTATTGACAAACCTATTGGAGTTTTGGGGATATGCTTGTAGCACTGATAAAAGAAAATCATGGATGTGGTCTATGTGGATTTTCAAAAGGATTTTGAGGTCCACGCAGAAGGCGAGTAAATAAAACTAGACCACATGGGATTGGGGGAAATATACTTGCATGAATTGAGAATTGTTTAACAGACAGAAAGCGGAGAATGGAGTTTTGGATCATTTCAGGATCCCAGGCAGTTACTAGAGGGATACTGCAAGGGTCAGTGCCAGGTCCACAGCTTTTCACTATTTATACAGTTGATTTGGATGTGGAGGGACCTATTCTGGGCAGAGTCTTTTTGTTTCTAATTTTGAATTGTGTTGAGTGGTTTAGAACATTTTTCGCCGTAAGGCCAAGCATGTTTTCTTGAAATATCTTATCAAACTTGCCTCATTAATTACCTACTATGCCCCTGTGGCATCTCTCATGTCCAACCTCCACCTCATTTTGCCATGCACCTTTCATGAAACAACTCGCCAATCTGAAGATATACACTGAAAGATTACAATTCTTTGTGAGTGTGCCAACTTTGAAAGACTGCTGTGCAGCCAGGCAAGTATTGGCAATACGATGTTGCTCCTCATCGACAGCGTAATGACACAGTAGGTATAAGCCACACTGCCAATAGTATATAGTTTGCATGACTAACGGTCCCTCACGTATACAACCCCATTCTCTCATCTTAGTCACTTTAACCACCATGCTACATATTTTACCTGCCCTTATTTACATTCCATCTGAACAACCTCTCTAAATCATTGCTACCCCAATGCCCACTGTAGATCTGAATCTTGTAATTGACCAGTAGAGGAACATCACATATGGGCAAACAATTGGATAAATAGAAGTGTAAACTTTCATTTACAGAAAAGGGAACTCAAACAAAGCCAACAAAGGTGAACTTTGCCCCCACAATACCAACTAGATTTCTGCTTCATGACCAAAGATTATTTTATAGTTAGCGATTGTGTGCTACACCAAGCTCTCTTATCTTGAAACCAGGTGTCAATGAGATACTGTCAGGCTTGTAGAGCCAGTGATAGCTGAGCTCTGTCATGGACAATGTCAGCTTCTTCATCCCCAGTGTGACCATCTCCCTCAGAAGAAGATTAGTCCCTTTTGTTTATTTTTGATTTTTGATTTTTGGTTTTGATTTTATTATCATATGTACCGAAATACAGTGAAAAGCATTTTCTCAGTTGCTCTGCATCCAGTATATCACCTTATTGCCTGCTCCAATTTTGCAGGGCTGAACATGCCAGGATGATGCAACACACTTTATCTGGTCTAGACTTGAAGGCACCTCCCTACCTGTCCAAGGAGCAGAACTGGATTTTCAAGAGATCTGTATGATGTTTCACTAAAGTCTCTGCTGAGGCATTGATAGCATTAGACCAATACTTTGCATCAATATAGAATGATACAGCACAGGAACAGGCCCTTTGGCCCAACATGTCTGTGCCAACTGTGATGACATTCTAAACTAATCCTACCTGCCTGTACATGGTCCATATCCCTCTATTCCTTGCCTGTTCATGTGTTCATCTAAATGCCTTTTAAACTTTACTGACATCTCTGATTCTACTATCTCCCCAGCAGCATGTTCCAGGCATCTACCACCGTCTGTGCAAAAAAACTTTCCTTGCACAACTCCTTTAAATGTTTCCCCTTTCACCTTAAATCTATGCCCCTAGTATTTGATATTTCCACACTGGAAAAAACTATCCACCCTATCCATGCCTGTCATAATTTTATATACTTCTATCAGTTTGTCCTCAGCCTCCCATGCTGTAGCAAAAATAATCCAAATTTGTCCAGTCCTTTGCTAATACACTCCAATCCATGCAACATCCTGGTAAACCTCTTTTGCACCCTTTCCAAAGCCTTCATTTCCTTCCTATAGTATGGTAACCAGAACTGCACATAATACTCCAAATGTAGCCTAACTAAATTCTTTTACAGGTGCAACATGAATTGCCAACTTTTACGCTCAATTCCCCTACTGCTGAAGGCAAGCATGCCGTATGCCTTCTTTACCAGCTTATCCACTTCTGTTGCTTCTTTCAGGGAGCTATGGACTTGGACTTCAAGATTCCTCTGCATATCCCAAATGTGTCAGCTCACACTTGTCTCAATAAAACCATATGCAATTCATCTGCTCAACTTTCCAACTGATCTATATCTTGCTGTATCTTTGATAACCTTCCTCACTACCCACAATTCCACCAATTTTTGTGTCATGTGTAAACTTACTAATCAGACCACCTACATTTGCATCCAAATCATTTACAGATATTACAAATAACAGAGGCCATAGCACTGATCCTTGAAGAGTACTACTAGTCACAGACCTCCAGTCAGAAAAATACCTTTCCTTTGTCTCTGTGACCAAGCCAAACTTGTATCCAACTTGCCAATTCGTCATGAATTCCATGAAACATAATCTTCTGGATCAGCCTATCATGAGGGACCTTGTCAAATACCTTAGTGAAGTGCATGTAGACAGCATCCACCACCCTACCATCATCAATCATTTTTGTGTCTCTTCTTCAAACATCTTAATCACCTTTGTGAGACAAGACCTCCCCACATAAAGCCATGCTAACTATCTCTAATAATTCGATTCTTCTCCAAATGCGAGTAAATCCTGTCCCTAAGAACCTTCTTGAATAATTTCCCTACAATCATCAACTTCGCCTCCAATTTCCACCCTGCCCTCACTTTCACCTGGTCTATCTCTGACTCCTCCCTTCCCTCTTCGACATTTCTGTTTCCATTTCTGGGGATAGACTGGCCACTAATATCCACCACAAACCCACTGACTCCCACAGCGATCATCAGATGCCATTTCTGCAACCTCCAGCAAGATGCCACCACCAGACACAAATTCCCCTCTCCTCCCTTGTCCACCTTCCGCAGGGACCGTTCCCTCTGGGACACCCTGGTCCACACTTCCTTCACCCCCAACACCCTCCCACAGCCCAACGGTACCTTCTCCTGTAACTGGCGAAGGTGCAACACCTGCCCATTTACCTCCTCCCTCCCTAGTATCCAACGGCCCAAACATACCTTCCAGGTGAAGCAACACTCCACCTGGACTTCCCAGAATCTAGTCTACTGCATTCACTGCTCACAATGTGGTCTCCTCTACAGTGGGGAAACGAAGCGTAGACTGGGTGACCGCTTCACAGAGCATCTACGTTCTGCTTGGAAAAAAGACCCTGAACTACTTGTTGCCTGCCACTTTAATGCACCACCCTGTTCCCTGGCCAACATCTCTGTCTCTGGCTTGCTGCAGTATTGTAGCGAAGCTCAACACAAGCTGGAAGAACAACACCTCGTTTTCTGCTTGGGGACCCTGCAGCCCTCC